GCGCGCGTGCACCACGACGGAGGCCCTGCGCCGCGGCCGCGCACGCGAGCACTGCGCGCGGGCGGGCGCTGTTGGCCGACGTCTGGCGAAAGACGGCCGGCGCGAGGCGGACGGCCTGCTGCGGAGGTGCCCCGGGGAGGCACCAACAGGAGTCGAAGACGCTCCAGGATTCCCCATGCGTTCCCGATCCTCTGGATTTCCGGCTCTCTCTCTTCACTTCCCGTCGTCCCCCCCTCATGTGCCTGGGCAACGACGTTTGGGTGCGTCCGTGTGCTCTGCTTCACTCCGGATTCCGAGGTGGCAGGGGGCCTTCCTGGAGGGGATCGGCCCGATCTGGAAGGCCCAAGGGGAGGCGCCTTGGGAGGCATCTCAAAGCGAGTGGGAGTTGAAGGAGGAGGCCCTGCGACCCTTGGATCGCCAACCAAATACGTGAGCATTCACTTGCGTCGTGCGCCATAGGCTGCTGAGCCCGGACAGCCCATCGAGTATTTCGAGCAACTTGTGCAAACCTTGCTTGCGAGACAACGTCATGGACTGTCCAGGCGATTGGGGGGGGCGGCGCGCGGCGGTCCTAGCCTCCAGCGAAGCGCCGCGGGTTTGCGCCGAACGTCATGGAGTCCTCCCTGGCCTTGCACGGCCGGTACACCCTTGTCGGTCAAGCCACCGTGTGTTCGGCCACCGCGCCGATGCTGGCAGGTCGGAGTGCATGCGCCCGGCGCTGTTCAGCGAACAGAAATATCTGCGGGGTAAAAATTATATCCTTTACGCATGCAAAGCGTGTCCAATACCGGGAAAATGCGGACACCCGTTCAAACAGCCGCGGGCAGAGTTGATCTAAACGGTGAACTGATCTGAACAACGCAAGGTTTTCCCGACAGGTTGGGGTTGTTAGGTTTCAAGAACAAGCCCCCACGGCCAACCCCACCCTGCATACCGCGGCCGCAGAACCCCAAGATGTACCGAGAATCCCGAATATCCTGGGTGTCCCGCCTCGCGCCTGGCCAACCCCACCCTGCATACCGCGGCCGCCAGACTCAAAGTCGCCCCGATGATTCCATTCCGCCTCGCGCCCTCGACGAACACGATCGAACACAACATGGCATGACAGAACCGAACATTACATAGCATAACACGCCTTGACAATACAGACCATGTCACGACACAGCATCACAGTACATGTCATAGCACGACAGCAGAGCATAGCGACGACGAACACGACAAAACACAGCACGACACAACATAACATTACAAACCATACCACGAGCATGCCATAACATGACAGAGAAGAACATGGCAATGCCACGACACAATCGAGCATGCCATAACATCACATAACACAACATAGCATGATCTGCCATAACAAAGGACGACATAGCACAGCATAACATAGCATAGCCGAGCATAGCACAACACAACTTGATAACACATGTCATGCCACGACACAACGTCACATACCATATCATGGCACGACAGAGCATAGCGATACGCAATATCAGAATAAAACAAAATATACGATCCAGAGCCGAACCGGCAACACGCATAACAGCACATAGCATACCATAACATAACATACTATATGACGACAGAGTACAACATAACACAACATAGCCAAGCATAGCATAACACACCATGACAGAACATAGCAGAGTGCATCACGACGGCATCATAGGACGAATCACAGCACGGCAGCAGGTCCAGCGAAACATACTCGCAGAGCAGATCATGACACAATACACAGAGCCACGGTGCCAACAGCATCGCTAAACGAAGCATGCTATAACATAACACGACACACCATGCCACAACATGGTGTCACAGAACAGATCAGACCCTAACATGCCAAACTTTTATGGTGACAGTAGTGGCCATAGCATAACATACCCAGTCAGAAGAGAAACTTACATGAAAAGGAACATCATAACAGACGGCACATCTAGCGTCACAAGCGTCACGCTGGCCCGTCGAGAACAGGGAAATCCGCCGACCCTGTCGGCGTGTGTGAGAACTTTTCCGTTCGAGACGTCATCCCCGTTGTTCGTTGGTCGTCGTCTCTGTCGTCCCCCTTCCTTGCGCCTCTCTTTCCGTGGGCCCGTCGCCACTCCCGTCCTCTTTCCCAGCAGGGGCCCCTGCTCAAGCGCGCCAGCCCAAATGAACTTCAGCAACGTCGTATTTGAGTCGAAGGGAAGCCCCTTCCCTTTGATCCCTCCCCCGCCGGGAGGGGGGGGGGGTAGCGGGGGGGTCCCGGGGGGGGTCCCGGGGGGGGGGCGCCACTCAGATACGACGCCCCCCCCGACGAGCCCTCGGCGACAGAGGCCCCAGGAAGCCCCAAGATGCCCCCAAGAGGCCACCACGAGACCCCCAAGAGGCCCCCAGGAAGCCCCAAGAGGCCCCCCCCGCCACATACGAGAACGCATGGGTCGCCCTCCAGGGTCGGCGGCACCGGCCGTAAGGCCTTCGCAATAATAATAGAGAACAACATGGAAAACAACGTGACTACATGGAACGCGGTTGAAACGTTTTTTGAATCCAAGGGCGGCAATCGTCGACCGATTAGGCGACCGCGCGCCGCCGGGGAAAAACAACCTAAAATGTTGGTGGGGACGCTCGAAGCAAAATAATGTACGTGCTGTTTGTTTCGTAATGCTATTTTGCAATAACGGACGCACCGCTGTTTGCACGGGAGCTCTCAGCTCCATGATTGAGGACGCCTGCCAAAGGACCGCGACGTATCCCGCAGGTAACTTCGGAGTACTTCGACAGGCTTTCCAGATTGCTTCGCGCACAGTGGTTTTTATGTTGGAGACGCCTTTCTCTTTTGGAGCATCGAACCCTCGGGAAAACAGCAAGGCAACGCAACGAACAGGAGACTTGCTGCAGGCAAGACCGCGCCCCCCCCCCCCCCCCAACAAAAAAAAATACGTTAAAGACGCATGCCAAAACGAATTGCATGCGCGCACTTATGATTCTTACTCGCGGTCCAATGTTTGATTGTTTTGGCAAGCGCCATTGAATTCTTGTTCTTGGAGCCGTGCTCTTGTGGTAGTAGAATGGGAGGTGTTGGCAAAGTCCAAGCGCAGCTTGTTGTCTCTACGCAGTGGTTTCCACGTTATGTTGTTTTGTTTTTTGGGCAGGCGTTTTTTTCTTCCTAAGTATCGCACTTGGAAGCGTCCCATTGTGGTAGAGAGTGATGAGAAGTGTTGTCAGAGCCCAAAAGCAATGTTTCCTGCGCAGTGTTTGACACGTTGTCTTTTCTACGCCGTGTGCGCTTTACGCTGCAATTAGTAGTCGTCTTCGGTTGACGATGACATGCGGTACGTTATGGATATTGTTTCCGTGTTGCCGAATGTGTTGCGCATTTTGTTTTGCGTGGTGTTGCGTTTGCGCTGTGTTGTGCTACGCGGTGGTTTGCGATATGTCTGTGTTTTATTCGGTGTTGCGTTACGATGTCATGCAATACTGTGTGGGTGATGTGTGTACGTTATGTTTGTTTGCGCGGTGTCTGCGTGGTGTTGTTTACGTTTTGGTTGCTACGTTATTGACTTGTGGGTTGTTCTTGGCGCTGCTTTACGATTGCCTACACTGTGTTTGTGTGTTCTGTACGCCTTGTCATGGGCTTGCACTCGGTTTTGTCTTACGATATCCGGCAATACTTGTGTTGTTTATTCTGCAGATGGAGCGGACAACGCCACAACAAAGCACCACCGTGAAACAATATTGAAAGAACTGCCAACGCTGGTAACATCCACTGCTTCACAACCGACGGTGTTTCTGGACGACGTTGCATCAATAATGCCGGGTGGGGCCACGCAGCCAAACAGCCGGACCTAAAAATCAACGCCGGGCACTTCCCGTGCAGAGGAAAGGGAGGAGGAAGAGGAGGAGGACAAAGGACGAGAGGAGATGGCAGCCTAGCAGCCGAAATCGGCGCTCACAGCTCGCCGACGCGCGTGGACCCTGACGCGCCCAACCGGAAGCCAAATAGCCTGCAGCATGATTCAAGACAGCGCGCACGACCGAATCAAAGCCATCCACACAAGCTCCCCAGCCCGAGTGTAGACTTCGTTGACAAGAGAAGGACAAGGAGGAGGACGACGACGACGACGAGAGGAGAGGACAGACACCCACAACGGCCGACGGACCTGCCAAACTCACGAGGGCACCGCACGCGCCAGCCTGGAGTAGGCGAGCACGCGCGTCTTGGCCCGAGGCGGAGGACACAGGCGGGAGCCGACGTGCAAGCCTGAGCCCTTTCCGCCCTCGGGGCCCGCGGGCCACGCGGGGGAGCGAGGAACGGAGGAGAGGGGCAAGGAAACAAAGGAGGCCAAGGGGAGGAGAGGGGAGGACACGAGGAAGAAATCATGGGTTCAAATGCAGCCGCCTCTGGCGGCCTCTCCAACGGCACAACTTTGTTGTAGGATATGTTCTGCTTCGCGCTCGGGCGCGCTCGTGCACCGCTGGGTTTCCTGAACAACTGTGCGGGTAGGCCCCCAGCCCTGGATTCTGACTTCTCACTCCGGGCGCGGGCGCTTGAACGCCGCCTGCAGGTGGCCCCGCACTCCTTCGCGCAAGTAGTCTCGGAAGAGGTCTGCACGCAGGCCGGAAGAGCCAGCACAACGCACCGCATTGTGCGCGCGATGCAATGCATAAGCGCCCAGCGCCCTCAAATCCTTGGCGCGTCCGCTTCCCTCAGCAGTGCCCCCCGCCCAGGAGCAAGAACTCCTCTAATTCGTGGCCCGCTGGAGGTCTCGCCGAGTTCAGGAAGCGCCCGCAAAACACATGGCAACATGCGCACCTCGAGCCTCTGGCGGCCGAGCAAACGCCAGCCCTGCTGCTGAAACCGACGGGCAGTCATCCACCCGTTCAAGTTTCAGGAGGGAAAGACACACACAGACACAATTAATCGTCGATTTCCCAGAAGATATGGGAAAATATGGGAAGTGTGGGGGGGGAAGACAACACCCCAGAAAATATGGGAAATGTAGGGGGAGCTTTTCATTTGTGTGTATTTCGTGTGTGTCCTTGGGCCCCTTCAAAGTTGGCCCGCAGGACTGCGGCGAGGACGCATCGGGGGCATCAGGTTCGCGATGGCCTGCAGGGAGCGCAGGGGTCGGAGGCATCGATGTCCAGGGAGCGCGGGGCTTCGCCATATGGAGTCCAGGGAGCGCCGTGTGGCCGTCGGCGACGCCGCGACGAAAGAAGGCCGTGCAGCAGTCAAAGCCCGGGGGCTGCCCACCGACGGGGCAGCCCTCCTCTAACGGGCGAAGAACGGTATAAAATAAACTGTTTCGCCGTCGGGGACACCTGCCCCTGGGCGGCTGGAAAGTTTATACCCTCAAGGTGGCACCGTAGAGGTATAAACTTTCCAGCCGCCCAGGGGCAGGTGTCCCCGACGGCGAAACAGTTTATTCTATACCGTTCTTCGCTCGCTGACTCCTCTAAAAATGTGTCCAGCAGCTCCGCCGTCTTGGCCCCCATGCCGGTGAACTTCCTAAGACCAGCATCGATAGAGAAGAAATAATTGTACGACGTCCAAGCCAACCGGGATCCCAACCGCTGCGCGTTGTCGAAGTCGGCGCGTACCGTGCGAAGCGATGCCGCGCGGGCTGCAATGCGAAGTCTTCCGCTGCAGCGCGCCTCGTGGAGGGCAACACGAACTTTCTCAACGTGGGCGGTAGACTGCACGTCGGGGAAGTACACTGTCCTGCATTACTTTGCCAGTGCTAATTTTAGATTTGTGTTAGCGTGGGCGGTATGTTTACGTGGTGTGTGTGTTTACGTGATGCGTGTTTTCGCTGCGTTTGTTACGCTCTGTTTTGTTGTCACGTATTTACCCGGTAATGTTTTACGATGTGCTGCCGTGTTAGTGCAAGTGCTGCTTTTACGTGTCGTTGTTATGTACATGGTGTTGTGAATGTTGGTTTGGATTTACGTTGCGTGTTTTTAGGCTCGTTGTGTTTACGCTGTGCTTCCAGTCACTCGGCTTTGGTTTCCGAAGTCCTGCAATCACTTGCAACTGCTGTTCTTTCCATGCTGTCTTGCTTACGAGATGTTGTCTCACATGCTGTTTCTGCGCCGTGCTTTGGGACGCTGTGTTTTCTCAGCGCCCCTCTAACGGGGACTCCACTAACGGGCGCTTTGGCCAGTAACCCAGCGAACTCAATCCTCCCCGATGTGGACAACGCTGCAATGCCAGAAAGAGGCCCTAAAGTGACAATTTTCGGCAATTCTCAAGAAGTGCCCGTTAGTGAGCACCCGTTACGGCGCCGCTGATTTTCGACATGGCGCTCTGCCATGAAGGAGCGCTGTCTGTGCTCGCTTGTAGGGGCCCTCCCCGTGCCCAGTGCTCGGGACCCAGGGGGGGGGGGGCGGGAGAAGGGGGGGAAATGTCCCTCCCACCCCTGCATTCGGGGCGTTGACCTAAGGAACCCGAAATAAGGAACGAGGCCTTTTTTTCCATCAGTGAATCTTCGATTTCCCAGCGAGAACATAAGGAAAACCTGAGGCAAGCTGTGAAACAAGTAAGGAACACGGAGCCCCTCCCCAACGAAAAGGGTTCCTTCTTCAGCGACCCAACTGCAGTTCGAACCCCAGGGGGGGCGGGGGGAGAGGCGACGACGAGGCGACGCCGTCATCCTTGGCGTCGTCGTCGTCGTCGTCGTCGCCAGCGTCGGCGTCCGCGTCGGATTCGTTGTCAGCGTCAGCGGCGTCGGCGTCGGCGTCGTTGTCGTCGTCGGCGTCGTCGTCGCCGTCGTCGTCATCGGCGTCGGCGTCGGTGTCGGCACTAGTGTCCTCATCGACGATCGCTTCGTGGGCGTTGTGCTCGGCATCGTGCTCGGCATCGTGCTCAGCGACGTCCTCGTCGTCGTCGTCGCTGGCGTTGGCGTCGGCGTCGTGCTCGGCGTCGTTGTCGGCGCGGGCGTCGTCGTCGACGTCGGCGGCGACGTCGTGCTCGGCGATCTCGTGATCGTCGTCGTCGACGTCGGCGTCTTGCTCGGCCGCTTGCTCGGCGTCGTGCTTGGCGTCGTGCTCTTCGTCTGCGTCGCGCCGGCGTCGGCGCCTGCGCCGGCGTCGTTGTCGGCGTCGGCGTCGTCGGCGTCGTGCTCGGCGTCGTGCTCGGCGCTCGGAGTCGTGCTCGTCGTCGACGTCGTGCTCGCCGCCGCCGTCGCCGTCGCCGTCGCCGTCGCCGTCGCCGTCGCCGTCGTCGTCGTCGTCGTCGTCGTCGTCGTCGTCGTCGTCGTCGTCGTCGTCGTCGTCGTCGCAGGCCTTTGTGCTCGGCGTCGGCGTTGTGCTCGAAGTCGTTGTCGGCGTCGGCGTCGTCGTCGTCAGCGTCGACGTTGGCGTCTTCGTAATTGTCGACGTCGGGGTCGGCGTCGTGCTCGGCGTGGTGCTTGGCGTCGTGCTCTTCGTCGTCGGCGTCGGCGTCGTCGTCGGGGCCGGCGCCGGCGTCGGCGATGTTGTCGACGTCGTGCTCGGCGTCGTGCTCGACGTCGCGCTCGGCGT